TTTGTTGTTTTTCTTCTTAAACTGTGTAGTTTGCTTAGGCTTTGCATTGTTGTTCTCTTGCATGATGTTCTTCTTTTTTATTATGGGATGCAAATGAGTTTTTCTTCTGCACCATATTGGCAGCGGAAGACTCAACTCTCTTTTCACGATTGTCTTTTGCTCTCGTCCTCTCCTCAACATCAAGAGATCCGATAAGTTCAGCCACGCTAAACTCCTGTCTCTTGTGTTTTAGAGAAGTAGCAAAATCCCTCCAAGAAGGTGGCAGCTTAGCGATTATACCGCCGGCCACAAACTTGTCGGGCAACAAACATGGGAAATATTCTAGTTCCTTTGCTAGCGCCTGTATCTCATGAACCTATTCGACTACAAAACGGTTTTCAACCATTTTATAGTCATACAACTGCTTCATACGGTACAGCTCACTACCAACATCAGAAACTCCAAACTTTGTCTCAAGAGCATCCCATAACTCTTTGCCTGATGTGCAAGATATGTAGTTTTTCTCATACTTAGGATGAAGTGCACTAATCACGGCGCCTCGAAACAGGTTATCGGCAGCCAAGAACTTTTGCTCCTCCTCAGGAGTAAACTGTTCAGGCTTCCCCTGTACGGCATGATAGCAGTTCATCGCAGTCAACCACAATACCATCTTGGCACGCCATATAATGAAATTCTTGCCATCAAAATTATTTGGCTTCAAAGCAGCAGCAAAACCACTGACAGAAAATTGCCTAAGATTAGGTTTTTAGATTGTTAGATAATTAGACATTTTTATAGTCAATTTAATCCAGAAATATAACATCAGCAGGTTCGTGACGGCATATATGTGCATGTGTATATCTCTAACGAACGCTACAACATGCAGAGGTGACATATAGATGAATACAGTAAAAGCGCAAAGTACAGTAATCACAGAGATTAGATTGTACCCAGCAGAGGGTCCCATGCCGAGGGTATCGGAGGCTCCATTCGCACTAGTAGACATAGTGCGTTTGAAAAGGTCCTAATGGCTAGAGGGGGAATGAATAGCCTATTAAAAAAATTCTATAACAACACTTAACAAACCGGTTAGACAATTATAAGGCGAAGCGAGTGTTGTGCTAGCCTACTAAAAATGCAAGCCACCAATCACAATTCTAGTTTATATAGTTTCTAACCACACAAAAGCTATGTTACTACACTAAGTTAGTGTGCTCTCAAAAGCTAACTAAAGAGTCACACTAACCAAACTAAGAGGCTCTCACAACTAGCTACACTAAAGAGCTTGACAACTAGTTTACGGTAATGTAAAGAGAGTGAGCAAGAAGGTTATACCGCCGTATCGAGGAAGGAGCCAATCAATCACAAGAATAAATAACAATGGAGACCAATCACCTCGGAATCAAATGATGAACACAATAATTTTTTACCGAGGTTCACTTGCTTGCCGGCAAGCTACTTCTCGTTGTGGCGATTCACTCACTTAGAGGTTCATGCGGTAATTGGCATCACACGCCAAACCCTCAATAGGGTGTCGCACAACCAACATAAGATGAGGATCACACAAGCCACGAGTAATTTACTAGAGTACCTTTTGGCTCTCTGCTGGGAAAAGGTCAAGAACCCATCACAATCACCATGATTGGAGCCGGAGACAATCACCACCCTCCGCTCGATGATACTCGCTGCTCCAAGCCGTCTAGGTGGCGGCAACCACCAAGAGTAACAAGTGAATCCCGCAGCGAAACACAAACATCAAGTGCCTCTAGATGCAAATACTCAAGCAATGCACTTAGATTCTCTCCCAATCTCACAAAGATGATAAATCAATAATGGAGATGAGTGGGAGGGCTTTGGCTAAGCTCACAAGGTTGCTATGTCAATGCAAATGACCAAGAGAGTGAGCTTGAGCCGGCCATGGAGCTTAAATAGAAGCCCCCACGAATTAAAGCCGTTGTACCTCTTTACTGAGCACAACGCGGGGTGACCGGACGCTCCGGTCATATTGATCGGACGCTGGACCTCAGCGTCCGGTCACGTGATGTACGCCACGTGTCCCTCTCTTCAAATGCTGTGTGTCCGATCTCAACGGTCAGAAGATGACCGATGTCGCAGTAGCTTATAAAGTGACCGGATGTGAATCCCTAAGCGTCCGGTCGCTTCAAAGAAGCTTTCGAAATGATTTTTTCTTGATCGACGACGCCCGGTCATGCTTGACCGGACATGACCGACCGGCGTCTGGTCACATGTTGTCTTTTCTCTCAGATTACACGTCAACATGACCGGACGCACCCCTTCAGTGTCCGGTCACAAAGTGACCCAGCGTCCGGTCAGAGACCGACGCTACATGCCCTCTGCTGCCACTGACCAGACGCACCGGTCCAACCAAGATCAGCGTCCGGTCACTTCCAGTGACCCCCGTCTTTTCTGTCTAGGGTGCTGGTGGCACCATCGGACTGTCCGTACTCTACGGGCGGACACTCCGCCGGTGAAGATCCTAACCCTTGTTCAAATGTGCCAACCACCAAGTGTATCACCTTGTGCACATGTGTTAGCATATTTCACAAATATTTTTAAGGATGTTAGCACTCCACTAGATCCTAAATGCATATGCAATGAGTTAGAGCATCTAGTGGCACTTTGATAACCGCATTCCGATACGAGTTTCACTCCTCTTAATAGTACGACTATCAAACCTAAATGTGATCACACTCTCTAAGTGTCTTGATCACCAAAATAAATATAGCTCCTACCATTTATACATTTGCCTTGAGCCTTTTGTTTTTCTCTTTCTTCTTTTCAATTTTAAGCACTTGATCATCACCATGGTATCGCCATCTTCATGTCATGATCTTCATTTGCTTCACCACTTAGAATGTGCTTCTCATGATCACTTGATAAACTAGGTTAGCACTTAGGGTTTTATCAATTCACCAAAACCAAACTAGAGCTTTCAGCGTTGCTCGAAGTCGTGGACCATAGTCGATGCAGGACGGATCACCAGGAAGAAGACGCCTTGTTGTTCTGCAGGCAAGCACCGGAAAGAAGATTGGTTTCGAGAGTGATCACCACTAGGAAGAAGGCGTACGTGGACGAGCAGTCGCGGATCGCTCCCAAAAATCTAATGGCCACACACCCCGTGCAAGGTTTTTAGGCGGACAAGGGTTAGGCGGACGAGGGTTCCGAAGGCACCTGCTCTCGCTACTCCGTATGCGCGCAGAGGTACGGGACGGAGAAGACAGAGGGCTAGTGAGATGTGGTTTCTCTCGGGAGCGGTTTCAGAAGACGGAGATCTGGACTAATCGGGGGACTACTGATATATGGCTGTGACGGAAGAGGAGAAAGGTAGTGGAGAATCCCAGGAGACGGAGAAGCAGAAGACGGTAACTGACACAATCAGTTCGCCTCCACCATCAAAGGGAGAAACTCATGTGATTATGTGGATTAAGTGGCAAAAGACTGGTCACACCCGCCTCGCCACGGCCTCAGCCCATGGCCCAGCCGGCGACGGCGGCGCGCGCGCATGTGGCACGCCTATGTCCTTTTGTCAGTTTCTCAATTAAGGTGAATAATTTTCAACCATATAAGATGAGTCAACGTTCAGTCAAAAACTCGTATGGTATTAAACCATATAACGCTTAATGTTACGTACCATAGAGTTTTATTTGATTTATTAAATATTATACGGGCCAAGCCCATAATATATCCAACAGGATTAGACCAAACTGACAGCTATTTCCAATCTGGAAAAATAATGCAGCACCTTATTGAAACGGCCAAAATGACAGCAATTGCCAGAAGGCAACAAATGCACACACAACGAACATGAGTAGAGACAGCCAGAACATGAAGCAAGCTCTAGCGACTAGAGGTGAAGACGCATCGGCGTGCAACGTCCGCGAGAGGCCGTGGTGGACGTCCAAGAGCCACGCCACGTCACGACGCCACGTGAGAAGAGGAAAAAGTCTACTTAACCTCCCACCTTTCATACATGGTCTACTTCACCCCCTAACTTTAAAACCGTCTGTTTTACCCCCTAAACTTTCTAAAACCGTCTATTTTACCCCCGGACGGTTTTTGACATTGGGTTTGCTACAGTAACAGCATGTTGCTACAGTAGCAGTGGGTTTGCTGCAGTGCCGGTGGGTTTGAATTTTTTTATTTATTTTCGGTGAATTGAAAATTCTAATTTTATTGGACTCCACATGAGTAGATCTACACAGTGAATATATAATACGGTATGCTTTAGTACAAAAATTTTACTGTAGCCTTAGATTAATTAAAAAATCTAATTTTGTCTGTAATTAATTGGAATAATTCATAGTTGCAGCTTCTATGGTCCAATTATGGTGAAATTTTTATGGTACGTTATTATTGTATGCTTGAACTATAGTAAAAATCTCGTATTCATTGGACTATGTATAACTTAGTTATAGATAAATTCTAATTAATTACAGAAAAAATTGGATTTTCAATTAATCTAAAGCTACAAAAAAAATTATACTAAAGCATACCATATTATATATTCACGTGTAGATCTACTCATGTGGAGTCCAATAAAATTAGATTTTTTATTTTATGATTTTTCTATGATTTACTATGATTTTTCAAAAATTCATCGAAAATAAATTAAAAAAAAAAAATTCAAACCCATAGACACTGTAGCAAATCCACCGGTACTGTAGGAATCCGTTGTTACTGTGTAAAAACCCATGTTTAAAACCACCCATCGGATAAAATAGACGCTTTTAAAAAATTTAGGGGTAAAACATAGAGTTTCGGGGGTGAAGTAGATAAAAGCTGGAGGTTAAGCAGACTTTTTGACCGCAGTCCGCGCAGATCTCCGATTCTCTCCGCTCCTCCTCTAGTCTAGTTACCTTATCCGAAAAAAAAATCAAGTGCGACGGTACGAGCGTGACGGGACCCGCCCGCGCTCGCTCTTGGGCTCCAGTCCGATCGGGTCGCCGCGGCCGAGTCAATCAATCCGGCGAGTTGGGTGTGTGCGTGTGTGCGTGTGCGGCATGGCGACCACGCGCGACCGTGGCGCCGGCGGCGGATCGGCGTCGAGGGTCGGCGACGGGGACGTCGACCTGGGCGAGGGCTGGGACTGGGGCGCCATCCCGCGGCTCCTCTCCTCAGCCTGCCTCTTCCTCTGCTCCGGGTGGGTCCGCTTCGCTCACGCTCCTCTCTCTCCCCTTCCTCGCTCGCCTTAGCTTTCCACATCTGGTCAATCGAGTGCGATCTGCGCCGCCTGGGACCGAACCAACCGTAGGAGGAAGGAGGGGTTGCGCTGCCGCGACCGCGAGCGAACCAGCTGCTTCTGCCGGGTGCGATGCTGGCAGATTGACTAGCCTGTAGAGTGTGATGACACAGATGGAAATATGGAATCGCGCCGTTGCGAGACGGCAGGGCGTTCCGGTCGGCGTCCGCGCCATGGTTCATCTAGGTTGGTGATTGATTCCGCTGGGTATCTGTATACGAGTTCGACATAGGTGCTGGAACTCAATTCATATCGTTTTTTCAAGGCATTGCGTGCGCAAGGTAGTGGCGTTACCAGATTTAGCGACTACCGCTTAGCTGTATGTCTGCAGTTTGCAGCCTTTAGCCTAGGTGTCTACTCTATGTGTGCTCTGGGTCTTTCACCCACTGCCGAAAGTCGGAGGTGACCTTGTCTGTCTCTAGATTGTGGCATGTTTGCCATCTGTTTCAGTTTCATATTTGGGTATCTTAACTAATTGTCTACATGATCAAACTCCTTCCGAACAGAGCAGAGGCTGTTTTGGTTGCTGCGATAAGACTGTAAAGCAACTGGGTGAACTGTCCAGAAACCTAATCACCCATGACCAAATAACCATTGAAGAGCCATTTTGGAGCACAACCACCATCGAGGTTGAACCAGCAGATCTCAGGGGTGTTTCTCCAATCAATGCATCTAACTGGGCCTTTGATCAGCATGGAACTGGTAGCAGTCATAACCTTCCTGGACTTGGTAATAATGGTAGGTCACTCTGAATCATGTTTTCAGTTCTGCTAAACTAGGGCGTTTTCACTGGATCGTCATAATGCCTCCTTTACTGCAATCTTAACCTTGATTTTGTCCTAGCTTCTCTGAGCTGAGAAAAAGAATGTTGGTCTTAGTTTTTCTGTGGTTTTAAATTTCCATCGCTTGATAAATTGTTCTTAAAAGTACCATCACTTGGCATAAATCTCAATCTTCATGTTGAACTATGTCAGGGTTTAACTATTGCCGGTACCAAGATCGTTGCAGTTGGTGTACCATACTACCATGCCTTAGTTTTCCGTGGTTTTAATCAGAAATTTATTTCGAAGATTTGAAACCACAGTTTTGTCCTGTCATCTTTCACAACATCTGGTACATTTTGCTACTAGATTAGCTTATAAGAAACTTGAGTAGGCAGAAAAGGCAGTGCCCTGGTGGTGGGGAGGCTACTTGACCTCTCCATCTACCCGAGTTTGACACCTTCAATCAGCTAAGGTGCCCATGTTCTTTGGTGAACGCCATATCTTCTAATCATTTTTTCTTTTCCTAAAAGAATGGGTGAAGAAATTTTGACTTTTGAGTAGGCAAACTGTTGGCTGATTGTTATTCTGGTGTTCGTGCTGGATAACATGTGAAATTGGTGTACCTATTGAGAACAACGTTGGTATGGTTGTCTGAAGTACAAAATATTGTTGCAGGACTCATTCTGTGGGAACAGACTAGGCAGGAGTGGACTGAAATTAGAAGTCTACGGCCGAAGGTGAAGCAGGTTCGCGAACCAGTGTTGAGGTATGAGCAAATGAAATGACGACCGCAACCCAAAAAATTTACCCATACCACGTTTTTGTCAGACAAGTATATATTCTATAAAGTACATTTTCTTTGACCAAATGCACTTTGGCCCTGCTTCATATTGAAAGCAAAGGGTTGTGCTGGGATCACCAACTTTTCAGATCAAACCTCAGAATACCATGCTTGCCTACCATCATTTTAGCTTTCAGTAACCATTTTGTCTGCATCCTTACGGAAACAGAACTAGTTTCATTTTAAATTTAGTTTATTTTTAGATGCATATTTTGTTCTCCTGAAGTTTGAAATCATTGTGATGGACCTGTTTTATCCAGGCGATATCAGTTGTATTGGCTTTGCTGGTTTCAGTTTCTACTGATTCTTCCAATTGCATGCTTTTAGTATAGTTTATCAATTCATTCATGTTGCTCAAGCCCAATGTGTTCCTTTGTGCACTCCCTCCGATTCCATAAAACTTGCTCATCATCCTCACTAGCATCGTTGGGACCACTTTCTACACCTACTTTAATTGCAGGGAAGTTATTAAGTGATTGTAAAATAATATTTGATAAGGTTATAATGAGCTTGGACCTACATACCGTAAATGGTTATATCTATGTGACTTGGAAGTTCTACAGCGTAATTATCTAGGAAACTTTCATAAGCACAAATAGAGTACCTTTGAATCAAATTTGATGGCAGCTGCTCATTTTACAAGAACAATGCAGAGAACCAGCTATGATGTTAATTGAATCAGAAAGCGGATAGTCAGTCTTATTTGTGTACAATTTGTTTTCGCTCAAATAGATACTAGGTTTTTATTCCATTCCCCATAATATGCTGAAGCCGATAATATCTTATTTTGCTTCTGATGGTGTATTTCGTTTGTGCCACCCCAAGAAGCTTTAAGGAATGCTATCTTATTGATTGTGGAGGTTTATGTAATTGTGCTAAAAAAATCCATATTTATATATGCAGTTGGAATGCAGCATATGAGAGTCTGCTTGGATCAAATAAGCCATTTCCTCAACCCATTCCTCTTCATGTAAGATCTAACACATTTCAGTCTAGCATTTCTTGCAAGGCATGCACACTTAAACATGGGTCATGAATTGCAGGAGATGGTTGATTTCCTTGTGGACATCTGGGAGCAGGAGGGGCTGTATGACTAGCGCAAATGATTTCATGGGATAACATATCTGGGATAACACATAGTTGTTCCTCAAGAGAGGGGAAAAAAGAATGACATAGGGTGTGTTTGTAGGTTTGAGATGAGGTGATGAGTTGGCCTGTCATACTTGTTTTTGTCAATGGAGGCCTGTTGTTCTTGCAGAATACAGCGCTGCGCTTGTAAGTCCTGATACACATAGTGGCTTTGTTGAATTTGTCAAAGAAAGGTGTGTGAGGTTGAGTTGTGACAAAAAGTGTGATTTGTATTGATTAAGAAGGCTTTGACATAACAGTTAACACGATGGCAGTTGCGTGTTGGTTCGAGATGGTTGGATTATTCTAAGGAGCGAGGAGTCATGTCAGTGTCCAGTTCGTGGTGATGCAGCCTTTGACTGATCCAGTTCCGGACTGTTAAATTTCGTTTGGTTCTGTTTCTGTAATGTGAAGTGGCTGTGACAGTTTTGATGAATGACCTCTCTTGCCGATAAGGGAAAAAATGGTTAATGTGAGCACAACCTTAGCCTGTTCGTTTCGTCGTAAACAATCGTGGATTATTTACTGCTGACTAGTTTGGTGTAAGAGAAAAATACTGTTCCAGCTTATAATCCACGATTGTATACGAGCAAGCGAAAAGATATTGTGAGTACTGTTCCAATTTATAATCCACGATCGTATACGAGCAAGCGAAAAGGTATTGTGAGTACTGTTCTAGCTTATAATCCACGATCGTATACGATCAAGCGAACAGGTACTGTGAGCCAATAACCTACTAAGGCTCCAACGGAACAGGACTGCTCAGCAGTTACTCTCCTCAAATCGAACTCCTCAATTCCTCATTAATCATTGAGCAGCAGCCAGGCCATGACCCATTGACCCATTCATCAAAACAACTACGGTGCGTGAATGCCAAGTCGGCAGAAGAAACCGGATCTGGCAAGGTGCACGTCACCACTCACCATGTGGCTCCCCAGAGCCAAAAGCCAAAGCGAAGCGTTCATTGTTCACAGGTATGCCAAGATAGACCGAAAGGGGCACGGCGAGAAGTGTGGTCTGGGCCGAAACCAGCAAAAGGCCATCGGCGTTGGGCCCCCGGCAACGACGCGCGGGCGCGGCCTTCTGCGTTCCGCCGGTCCCACCACCAGCTGTCGTCCCCCACCCACCCGCACCCCATTGCGCATTCTCACACACACACACACAACACTGGCGACTTGTCCTCGGCGCCTCCGCTCCCCTTTTTCGGCGACGCCTACTTGACCGGCTGTACCGGAGATAGAGAGAGGGGGAGGAGGGATATTTAAATATTTGTCATCCTTACGGTTGGCTCCTACTAACTTACCAGCTTTAGAATATGAATTATAGATTTGCCATCTGAATTGCTCTGGTGCTAAAGATTTGTCTATTTTGAATTCGTGGCAGTACAGGTCATCATGCCACGGTGAATCGGTCGGAAAAAAAAGACGTCCATGCCCCTTTAGGGTGTTAGGACACCCCACTCTAACCAGACCACCGTGTATAAAAAAAGCCACATGCTCCAACTCCAACCAACCAACCAACGTGTTCTACATATATTTGCTACAGGAGGCAGTCTACAGTAAAAATTCGACATGATATATGCTAATCATGGTCATAAATTTGCATATATATATTAGTATATAAATTCGACAACCATTGTACATTAAAAATCAGCATCATCATGGCCACACATGAATTGTACCAAATATATATATGAAATGTACCATGCACAGCAAGCACATTAGCTAAAAGAGACCACTGATGTCTAAGTTTGGTCATAACATCCATACATAGAATCATTAAACAGGTTCTAGGCGACACATAGCTAAAGCAATGGCCATTTAACAGTTCTGACCAACAAAAGTACATGAGGTGTCATTTATCAAGTTCTGGCCGACAAATATATAGCACTAATGCCATTTAATGTGTGTTCGCCACAATGCACACTAGGAATCCACAAAAGTCATTGTTTTTCATCTCCACGGCCTTGTCTTGTCTTATGTTTTCTTGATCTTGGAGGCCATTTGCTTCCTCCTGAGTCATCTTCTTGGGCACGGCCTCCACAACTTGTAGCTCTCTTCCGAAAAGAGGTTCATTTGCACCCAACAATAATCTCTGAAAAAATAGAAAGTGAGGGGTGTTTACAAACAGCAAGCGATTAATTTGGATGTTTACAAAAATCCTAGTGATTATACCTCCTAGTGCTTGGACCCGATGGGGTGCTTGGACCTGATGGGGTTCCTGAGCTGCTAGTTGAACCTCTATAGGCACAAGTTCAACAGGAGCTCTCTATTGGCTGCCCTTCTTCTGCTTGCTGCCGCTTCATGGCTGCCATAAATCAGCCAAGCTCGAGTTGAGCTTCTTACGCCCGGCCTTGCCCTCACTGCAGCTTTCCTTGTTGTTTGCAAGCCTTGTCCTAGGAGTGGCTTGTTTAGGAGCAGGATGTCCCCTGTCTTGCTCTTCTTCCTCCCAGGCTTCACACTAATCTTCTTAGTTCTCTTCCTATAAGCAAAAAAGTGAAATTTTTAGCACATTATTCTGAACAGCAATAATAAAGAAAAATTGTGTTGCTCCTACCTTTTCTTAGTTCTGTCAAGCTACACCTCCAGCCTACCTTGCTCTGTGCCCATGTTCACCACATCCTTTACATAAGGCTTGTCTGGTTGCCTTCCCACTTCTCTCGGTGGTGGTTTGGCCCTTTTTTTCTTTTGCCCGCCTCGCCCTCTCTTTTTTGCAATTGGAGGATGCAGATGAAATCCCTTATTTACTTCAAAGCCACCGAGATTTGTCTGTAATATTTGCTACTATTCCATTATAAGCAGCTTGGAACCTCTCAACAGAGTAGTAATTGTCCACATAGCTGCCCATGTTTGGTCGCTTTACGCTTGTGATGACTGCTAGTGCGTGTGGACGTGGTTTTAGTAACTTGCCACTCTCTGCAAGTACATGCCCCTCTGAGTTAAATAAACAACATGTCTTGACCTCTTCATCCTTATACATCTCAGTCACTTCAGTTTGCTCATGATAGCCTTTGGTGACCTCAGTGGCTCAGACCCTTAGAAGTCGCATTGAGTTGGTGAATTACAGCAGCAGTATTCCGGTGATAAGGCCCGAGATCCTCCTCCTCTTGACAAAAAGTATCACTAACTCTCTCCTTATACCATCTACCATGTAGTGAGGAGGCAAATCCTTCAAGTCCTTCACCCAAGCATTCCAACTCTCAACAAGGTTGTTGTTAATGTAATCACATTTGATGTCTCAGACCTGAATTTACTTCTTGCCCACAACAAAGCTGTGATGGTCATCTAGCCACTTTGTTACTCCTGGGCTTTTTGCCACAACCTTATCAAAAAAGTACTTGAACCTGTGTGGAGAGTAGGCTCTTGTTGCAGCAGCCACATATTTTTGCATAAACCTCTCCAAAGTGTAGTACTTCTTCATGTTCTCCATCAAATGTCTAAAGCACTCTCTCTGCTCAAACCCATGAAAACACTTGCTTGACTGCAGACTTCAAGCCCCTTGCATGCATAAGTGCAAATGTACCAACCTAGGCAGGGGCCCTATTGCTTTACCTAGCTATTCCATGAACCATGTCCAATTTTACGTGATTTCAGTGTCAAAAAAAAACAAATGCTAGTGGAAACATCCAATTATGCCCATCTAATGCTAAAGATGCAAGCATTTGTCCATTCCACTCTCCAGTTAAACGTGTGGAATCTATACTAATGTAAGGCCTGCAACCATATAAGAATCCATCTATGCAAGCCTTGAAGGCACAAAAAATCTAGTGAAGTGCACTTTCCCATCAATCTGTGGATCGTGTGTCTATCTCTACAACACCGCCAGTGACATCAACTCTACCTCGGCTTTGAATCTGTACAACCAATCATAAGAATCGGACCACTTACCAAATAGTTTGTCTGCTGCTCTCTGTCTCCCATACCACACAGTTTGGTAGCTTGTCTCAATTTTGTACTTGTCATCAAGAAACTCCTTAACTGCAAAGCAAAGCAGCCCCCATACTTGTTTTTTTTCTTCAATAGAGGTATAGCTTTCAGGCAACCCAACCAATAGAAGCCATGTTGGTAACAACCCTATTAGTTGATGGACACTTGTGGACACCATTGTTGATCTGAATCGCACAACAAAACATACAATGTTAGAAACCAACTCAAGTCAAACAAAAAAAAGTATGCATGAACAGCCCATTTGCCTTACAAAACAAAATAATTGGTTCAAAAATGTACCATGACACTCTTATCACGTTGAGTCCTAGTTTAATAATCCAAGGATGTACCCATTGCCTTGCAAAATCCCCCGAACCTCTTTTTTTTGTCGACTTCTCTCGTCCCAAGCTCAAAATCTTTAACAATGGCATATTGCCTTCGCCATCCTAAAGTCATCCATACAAGGATAGTATATGCCAACCCGACATATCCGAGAAATTCCTTATCCCAATCTTCCATAGGCTCGAGAGAAGTCTGTGTCATCAACGAAGATGCGGCATCTTCCATCTCTCTTTCAAGTTCCTTAGAGATGGTAGGGATAAGAATTTCCTCTCTAGCAGCTTCCTCGGCCTTCTCATGAGCTTCCTGGAACCCCATTGCCTCATAAACAACATCCTCATCGGCTATTGCATTTGCCTCACCATCCTCGGCTTCCTCTTGGATGATAGTCAATGTAGCCAGATCTCATCGAACCGCCTCATCACCATCATCTGTCCGGAGATGTACAGTGTATCACCATTCCTTCCGAATTAGCTCCAAAGATAAGAAGCATCAACATTGGTCACATCGGACATAGGAATACTGTTGTTGTTTGTCTCATATCCATTCTTAGTAGTAACCTCAACAATAATATATGCCATCATTTCCTTCTATTTCTCCTCTATCATTTTCTACCATTGCTCATCCCTTCTAATTTTCCATTCAGAGCCACTATCATTGTCCAAAACCCAAATTGACAATATCCGGCTTGGTCCCCCATATAATCTTTGTAGCAATTTTATCATGAAACCGAGCTAGACTGCACCCAACACTCCTATCTAGCCACAACTCATGTTCTTGGTCAACAATTTCAACAAGCCCATCATATTCAAGCACAAAGCAGTTGTACTTAACGATTTTAACAACTAGCCTAAATGCATTTTCGTGTTCGATCCTAGCATTAATGTAAACATAAAAACATTGCATCGTTAGCCAAGTACCCCATGTAACTCGGTCCAACTGTCTTTCCCTACAAAAAAATAGAGAGACTCACCAAGGGGGGGCAACCATCGGGTTCCATGGTCACAGATCGGGATCCAAATACCTGCTACATCACCCACCTACAAACCAAAATTGCAGTAAAAATCAACGTTCAACCCTAACCCTAGCTCGGTAAACGAAGGCAAAATAAGAGGGCCAGCGAGGGGCGGAGGGTGGGGGAAGTGCGTGGTCAAACCTGCTTGGGTTCGGGGTTGTGGAAGTGCAGATCGGGGTCAACTTCGGACCACCATCTTGCAGCCCACCTCGCCGTACCAGCCTGCAGCCGAGAGCAGGGGCGCGGGAGAAGAACGGGGAAGAGAGGGCGCGGGCGACCGGCGAACGGGAGAGGAGGAGGATTCGGGACGGACGAAGGGCTCGGCGCCGGTCGCGCGGGGCTTCTCCTCTGCCCGTCGCGGGATTCCGTGCGACCGCGAGCGAACCTGCTCCCCTTTCTGTCGCGAGTGGAGAACGGGGGAAGGGGACGACTCGAGAGGCGACAGGATCGGGATGGAAAAAATAGAGTGGAGGATAGAAAGGTCTTTTTCCTAAGCCAATCCATCGTGGCAAGCTGAGGTGTACTGCCACGACGTTAAAACAGACAAATCTATAGCATCCACCGTGATTTGGGTGGCAAATATATAATTGCCGTTCTAAAGCTGGCAAGTCCGTAGAAGCCCATATAAGGGTGGCAAATATATAAATATCCCGGGGGAGGAGGGTTCGGTGACGAGAAAACCCCAATCGCCTCCGCCCCATCCCCTACTCCGGCCGCAGCCGCCGACGTCGCCACGCGCATTCCGCCGCCGCAATCGGTAGGGTTCGCCCGCTTCGGCCCCTCAGCGACTCGATCCCGCTCCCTCCTCGCGCGCGCATTGCATCTCGTCCTCGTCTCGTCCCGCTTGTGTCGTTTTTGATCTGATGATCCGTGTTGGGTGGACTGTGTGGCAGGGTACACGAGAAGCGCGGGGGATGGCGTCGTCGGCGTCCGCGCCGGCGTCCAAGGGCCCGCGCTACGCGCCGCCGGATCCGACGCTCCCAAAACCGTGGAGGGGGCTCATCGACGGCAACACGGGGTACCTCTACTTCTGGAACCCGGAGACCAAGGCTACGCAGTACGAGCGCCCCGTCGCGGCCGTGCCGTCCTCCCCGTCGCAGCCGCCTGGCTACTCCAGGCCCGATGAGAGGCCGAGAAGCAGCGCACCTTCCGAGGTAACAACGCCTATTCCAAAAATGTGGCTTTGTGCGAGGTTGAGGTCTGCGAGATGGGCTTTTTTCTTCTTCTAGAGAACAAATGTTTGCTACATTCTCATAATAGTCTGTCTTTGGTGTTTCAGCAGCGGTCGGAAGCCGCGGTGAGTCGCCCGCAGTATGTGCCTCCCTCGGATAACAGGGCAAGGAATGATCACTCGGAGGTGCCCTGTTTTTCTCTCTTTACTTCACTATATCAATCGTGTGCTACATGTCATATTTTTCCCCGCATTTGCTCTTCTGTTTGCATGGTGTGATTTACGTCAAGGCTGCCAGTAAAAGTATAGTTGGAAGCAAGGATATTCTCTGCCTGCTGGTCGATTTCGGAGGTGGAAATACCTAATTAGTCCAGTTCAGTTCATAGTGATGACCTTTTTCTTGGCTAACCAACTATTTATCAAGAGAGATACTTTTTTTGGAGCAACCTGCTGAAGCTGCATGCACAATGTGTCTAGTTACTGTACATGCAATGCACAGTATTGTTATTCATTGGACATTGCTGTTTCAAAATATCAGGAAGATACAATAGTACTGTAGTAGTAATAGTGCATCAAAGAGTCAAGATATGATCAGCATATCATAAGCGATGTACTTTTCTTTCTCCACTCATAGCATGCTACCTTGTTTCCAGCCACGCTCTGCATCGGGAGTGAACCTTTCACAAAGTGCTCCGTCCACTAATCAAGTTTCTCAGGCTGCCAATGGAAGCCAAATTTCTACAGAAGCATATCGTGCTAAGCATGAGATTACCATTGTCGTATGTGATAAACTAATCCATTCCTTTTATTTTTTTGTTTACTCCATCCCAAATTATAAAATGTTTTGGCTTTTCTAGATACATAGCTTTTGCTATGCATTTAGATATACACCATGTCTAGATACATAGTTAAAGCAGTGTATCTAGAAAAGCCAAAACGTCTTATAATTTGGAATAGAGGGAGTACCATCAATCATTCTTGTTATTTATTTAGATGTTACTTAGTTTTTCCATTTCTTTTATTAACAGGGCAATGAGGCACCTGCGCCATTCATGACATTTCAGTCCACAGGCTTCCCATCAGAGATTCTAAGGGAGGTAGGTCTACACAACATGCAACAATATTAATGTGCTTTTTTGGATTCCTTTCTGATGGAACCAGATGGCCATTGTGCATCCATTGTATGTATGCATGATTAAACCAAGTTTTCTTTGCAGCAGGCTCTTCAAGTCAACAATCCAAGTCGTGGTTCGACCTGTTTGTTGTCTTGTACAGCCTCCTGTGGTTTGAAACAGCTCACTATTTTGTTCAGTCCCCAGCTGCATGATGTTTGGCTTGGCTTCTGTGTAACTAAAAATTGCACATCATGAGAAGCCTTTTCTCTTTGCTATAGACTATATTATGACTTTTATCCTTACGCAGATATGGTATTTAGATAATACTCATCTCTGAAGGGTATCTACCTTTTGCAGGTTCTGCAAGCAGGATTCTCGGCACCAACTCCTATCCAAGCTCAGTCATGGCCAATTGCTATAAAGGGCCGTGATATAGTAGCTGTGGCGAAGACAGGTTCAGGAAAAACATTGGGCTATCTCCTCCCAGGGTTTATTTTTCTGAAGCGTCTGCAGCATAATTCAAGGGAAGGTCCAACGGTATTAGTTTTGTCTCCAACCAGGGAATTGGCAACACAAATTCAAGATGAAGCAGTCAAGTTCGGCAGATCTTCAAGAATATCTTCTACTGTATGTTGCTTTATATTTTCTTATATCTGTTGTTATCATTACTAATGCTTTTACCTGCCTAGGTCTAGAACATGTGTCATATTTTTAAATGAATTAACTACGTTAGCGCCTCTAACCATATTTGTTAATTCTAATGAATTCATATGCGAGCAGATGAAAGCTCCACTTACGTTTAATATATGTTGTATCAGGGATGTTAATCTACTTTTTTATTGTTTGAAGTGCTTATATGGAGGTGCTCCAAAAGGCCCTCAGCTAAGAGAGTTGGAGCGTGGTGTCGACGTTGTTGTCGCAACTCCTGGGAGATTGAACGACATTTTGGAAATGAATAGAGTGAGCCTGCGCCAAGTATCTTATCTTGTCCTTGATGAAGCTGACCGAATGCTTGATATGGGATTTGAGCCACAAATAAGGAAAATTGTGAAACAAATACCACCTAGACGGCAAACTCTTATGTACACTGCCACATGGCCAAAAGAGGTTAGAAGAATAGCGTCGGATTTACTGAATAATCCGGTTCAAGTTAACATTGGAAACACTGATCAGCTGGTTGCAAATAAGTCAATTACTCAGGTGAGTAAAAATGTTGTTTTCTTTTTTTTTCAAGCCAGATACTTTGTTTCTGTACTTTGAAGTGGTTTGTTGCACACTGCAGCATGTGGAAGTCATCCCACATATGGAGAAATCAAGACGACTTGATCAGATCTTGCGTTCACAAGATCCTGGATCAAAAATCATAATATTTTGCTCCACTAAGAGGATGTGTGATCAGTTGGCTAGAAACCTATCACGGCAGTATGTTGCTTCTGCTATTCATGGTGACAAATCACAGTCTGAGAGGGATTCTGTGTTGAATGACTTTCGAAGTGGCAGGTGTCCAGTACTTGTAGCCACCGATGTCGCCGCTCGAGGCTTGGACATAAAGGACATCAGGTAGGACCGTGTCTTCGTTGCTTCTAAATTTTTGAGGGCTTTTACCTTCTAATCATTAGCAACTGTGCCATAGTCATTCTAATGCTGATAATAAAATGATGAATACACACATATTTTGTAATCCATACAAATTTTCGAATGTAACCTACTGACAATCCTTCCAAAATCTCCTCACAGGGTCGTGGTTAACTATGATTTCCCAACTGGTGTGGAGGACTATGTCCATAGAATTGGGAGGACAGGTAGGGCTGATGCGACAGGATCTGCCTACACATTCTTCGGTGACCAGGATTCGAAGTACGCTTCGGACCTTGTCAAGATTTTGGAGGGTGCAAACCAATCTGTGCCACCACAGTTAAAAGAAATGGCTCTTCGTGGAGGATATGGTGGAAGATCACGTCGGTGGGCATCTTCTGATGACTCTTATGGTGGTCAGGGATATGGTGCTAAAAGATCAACTGATAGCTTCAATAACAGCAGCTTCGGCGACCAGGCTGGGGGTGGTTCAAGCTTTCACTCGAGGTGCGTATCAGTTTCTGTTTGAATGCTTCCTTTTAGCCTAGTACAGCCCTAACGAGTCATCAATTAGCAGCTTCCATAACAGCTCCAGTGGCAATCAGTTTGGTGATATTACGAGCTTTCATGGCAGGTATGGTGAAAATTTCTATTATACATTGTCTTTGGCCCATCTATACATTGTAATGAACCATCACATTACAGCTATGATAACAGCTGCCGCAACAATCAGACGGGTGACAATGCAAGCTTTCCACCCAGGTGTGTATAAATTTTCCTATCCAGATGATTATTTAGCTGATGTATCCCTGCTACATGATTAATTGCTATCTTTGATACAGCTCCAGCAACAATCAGTCTGGGGATGGTCTCAGTTTTCATGAAAGGTACTTTATTAGTCTTTGAGCCAACATTTTTACCATCTTTGGAATTACCCAATGTCATTTGAAATTCTGAAGTTTATATAATCTCTGAACTTGTGTTGTCATTTGGTGCTGTCTGTCTTGTTGAAGTACTGATCTAATGGAACTTGCTTAGCATGAAAACAAAATTATATTAATGCATCTTTTGTTCCCTTTTTCTTCAACAACTATTATCACTTGGTTTCTTAAGTTTCTTATCTTTTATGGAATGTGATTGCATCCATGAAGAATGAATCTCAACCGTCTGTATCCTCCATTCAATTGGCAGGTTCTATGGATCACGTGGAAGGGATCAGAGCAAAACAAGCAATGATGGATTCCGTGCTAGGAGCAGGAGTCCTCCTGGCAAGCCCGTGGGAGTTTCTAATTGGTGATTGCATCCACTAGGTGCAATCCAATTTCCGCGATGGTGACGAAACCAAGTAGAAGAAGATGGTACCCTAACAAGTTATATTATTTCCTTTCCTTATCCTGCTTAAATCCAAGGATGTCCTGGAACATCACTAACTTAGGATATGGGTGATGGTCTGATCCCTAATGGTCTCCTGCTATCTTGATTTGACGCCTGGGAGACGCCTGATTCCGTACCATATGCCTGTGGTCGTAGGTTTTAAAGCGCTAAAACTTGACTTTGCTAGTATACTTCCTAACGCTATTATAACCCAATCATGGGTAGACAAACGCATGGGGATGAATTTTGGACGGAAACCATGGACAACTGATGTTTGCGTTTAATGTTATGTACAATCTATGTCGAAGACTGTTGTAAATGCCGCCCGCATGGTTTTATATTGAACTGAGTGCCCGTTATCACATGTGTTGATGTGTTGAAGGTTCATCCAGCACGTATGTGACTCAGCTGATGCGAGTTTTGTGGCCTCGACAGAGGCTTCTTGGTTTAGACCTGGGAATCTCAACGAGTTGCGCTTGTCTTTGTATATTGTATATTATATATCATACTGCTTCTGCACATGCGCCACCGTCTTGCTGATTTGTGTCGCATGGGCCACCACACAATGACGTAGACAGTTTGCCGTGGTTTGGACTAATTCTAAACATATAGTATGGCTAGAGAACATGTCCATGTCTCGTGAAACTCGAGAATATATTCGTTCATGATTCTTGCAACTCTGCAAATAGATGTTGCCTGTGCCCTGTGGTACAAGTGTACAACTGGGTGGAAACAATGCTTGGTGCATATCCTCATTGAGATTCTAATGTCGATCTAATCTCTATACCTCAAAAACCTGTAATTTCTCACAAACTACTGTAATCTGTTTCATCCCAGCTTATGCATCCTTTGCCTTCTTGGTTCGCGTCAACCTAGAGTAAAGGAAAACACCTGCTAATGCAGCACCAGTTCCTGTAGGAAGAACAGCAAAAATTAGACACCATGAGTTGGCTTGAAGTGATGCAAAAGGAGTAACGATTTTTTTTTGGGGGGGGGTGTGTGGGGGATTGATCAAAGTTACCTACCTAGTGCATTGACAGGCGAAATAGGGGTGCTGAAGAACAGAACGGAGGAGACGATCACAACCACACGCTTTACGCAGTTGGCGACGGAGTGTGTCACCGGTGACACTCTGGACAAGATCAAGTACGAGAGCTGCCATTGCAAGGGAAGACCATGCATCAAACACAAGCTTTTCTTTTTGGAGACAGAGGAAGAGGTGAAGATCCCATGGGGATGAAGAACATGATTATCTCCTCACCTTCTGGTAGCCATGGAAGCACAGACCTGCGAGCGCTGCTCTCACGCAGAGCTCTTGGAGGTTCAGGCCCTACATGATGCCAAAGCAAGATTATGGTAACTTCGTTGTTTGGAGAGCGATGACACAGCTGATTATTGAAGTATATATATCTTGTCTGATTTTTGAAACGCCTACCGTGCTCTGGAGGTATCCTGGGGTGAACTTGATGCCTTCGGCGAAGAACATCAGAGGGCAAGATAGCAGAAATGACAGTACAGTGATCACCGAGAAGAGATTTATGTCATCCATAACATCCTGCATCACGAGGCAATTTTTACTGTTACTACAGTTCACCGACCGGCGGTACTATTAATCTGATGAAGGAAAATTCACCTTGTCACCGGCAAGGAGTTTCTTGCTGAGGACGTTCCTCGATTGGTTGGTCAGATTAGACGCCATGGCGCTCCAAAACCCGGTCCTGATTCCCAGACAAAATTACAGTGTCAACTGTCAAGATTCCTCCAATCATTTGAGTCCCAACAGCAAAAAGGCAAAGGATCGCTCGGTACTACAGTACGATCCAAAGATTCTCCAACAGTAGGCAAAATAGGTGGCGGGCAGCACTGACCAGTTGAAAGAAACTTCGGTGAATGACGCCAAGGCGACGCCGCCAACGATCGGCACGAGCGAGCCCAGCACCGGCAGGGAAGGGACCTGCATAGCAAACATCGAATGAGAACTGATCATAGATTCCAGTTTTCTTCTTGTTTCTTGTTGATTCCATTCACGGCGGAATCGGCGAGAATTCGTTTTGCTTTTTCAGGACTCAGGAGGTGCGAGTGAGACGGTGGCGAACCTCGCCGAGGAAGAGGGCGGAGAGGACGACGGTGAAGAATGGCTCGGAGGCCTTGATGGTGTGCGTGAAGGAGACGGCGACCTTGCCCAGGCTCATGTTGGTGAACACCGTGCCCAGCATGTGCCCCACGGCCAGCGGCGCGATCTTGCCCAGCTGCAGCAGCAAAAGTTGTACTACGAATCAGCAAACCAAGCGGAGGGGGGAAACGAACGAGATTGCAGCTTCGCTTCGCACGCAGTCGTCGCGGGGAGAATGGCCTCACCTGCGCAGCGGAGAGCTTGGGCGCCGGGTGGAGCCTGGTCGCCCACATGAGGAAGATGAGCAGGGAGCCGAACGCGAGCTGGAAGGCGGTGATGGTGTACGGCAGCGGCAACGGCAGCGCGCCGAGAACCTGCAATGGGGGGACGGAGACGGACCCGGTTGGTCTTGATCGATCAGGGGGAAGAAGAGGGGAGGTGATATGGAGATCACTCTTGAGATCGATGCTGCGGTGAACGGGCCGGACAGACCTGCTTGTTGTAGATGTTGAAGTAGATGTTGAGCAGGTACCACGCGACGATCATGGCGCCCAGCTGCGCCGTGGCCGCAATGCCGCCGCCGGCGCCACCGTCTCTCGTCACCGCGGCGGCACTCGCGTCGTCCGCCGGCACCGATGCCGCCGCCGCGGCAGCAGCAGCCGCCGCCTTGGCGACCTCCCCATTCTTGCCGCTACCGGACAGCAGCGACAGAGGCCTGAGACGGCAGCCGCCGCGGACGCGCAGGAGCGGCAACGGCGGGGCGGTGGCGCCGCGGGGCCCGAAGAAGGAGGAGGACGAGGAGGCGACGACGCCGACGTGGCGCGAGGCGAGGGCGGAGGCACGACCGCGCGTGGCCCGAGTCCAAGAGGCTCCGGAGACAGAGGTCGTCCCCGCGGCCGCCGCGCCCTGCATCATCTTGCGCGGCCTTCTCGCGAAACGGTGGCCGCCCCCGCCCGCGCTTAAAATACTCGTGGTCCGGTCGCGTGCGCTACGGAAAACGGAAAAAGGTGCTTCCCGGGTGAATCTTCCCGGGATCCCGTTCTCGTTCGTCCCTGTGGCTCTGTGATTATACTGCGAGCAGTGAGCCAGTGAGACGACGCGAGACAGGGGACCAGGGGAGGCCCCAGCGGCAGGTTGGCACTTGGCAGGGGCAGCAGCAGTGCACAATTGGGATTTGGATGCGTGGCGGCTTTCTTCGTCCGACCTTCGCAGCTGGACAGTTGGTCGTGTCGACGTCGTCGGCAGCTTACCCTGTTGGATTGGGCACACGTTTCTTTTTTCCTCCGATCCAGAAAGTGGCGTCACCGGTGAGGTGAGGACCTAAACTTTGTATTAAGGCTGTCTCCAACTGGAGACGTATCAGGAGACCCAAATCTAAAATTGATCTCTAATAGAATACTTAATAGAATATCCTCCAATAAAGTATCTATATGAAAGAATCATTTTGAGTGTCAGGAAAGGTATAACCTAAATCGATTATCCTCTCTCCTGAAGACTTATTTGCAGTAAGAGTTCTCTTTAAATTTATATTGTTGGAGAAAACAAAAAATATATATTAAATCCTTTACCTGTCGCGCTACCTAAACATAAAATAAGTCTTATGTTTTGGTTAACGGTTCTGGAGACACTCTAATAGTGCCTGCACGCCATTTTCATGCATGCCGGCCCGTCTCAATTATGCAACGTACTAGTTCTTCAACAAAATTAAGTACGACGACGTATAGCATATTTATTGTGCAAAGAATAATAGAACGCGCACCTTTTTCTGGCCTCAGGTTGCAGCTACCAGCATCGTCAACAAAAAGTAGTCACGAGATGGGGAATAAGGTTAGGGGACATCATTTTCATTTCTCTAAAGATAAGAAGAAGGAGATTCTAATCTAAAAGAAAAAAAAGGATTAGCAAGAGAAGAGATGGACGCATCTCCGTGATGATAAGAAGGCGACGCGGGGGTAACAGACGTGCAACGGCGAGCTGCCGGAGACATTCATTCCCCTATACGTTTCTGCTCGTCACCTTTTCGCCGTGGAGCAGCATGCTTGGTTGCCCTCTCGTGTGATCGGTGTTCGCTTGAACTTATCAGCCGACTTATCAGCTAGAATTACAACATTTTTCTCTCACAACAAAACAGCTTCAGCCGACTTTAACCAAGCATGCTCTCCCGGTGGCTCTTTCGTTGCGATGGTGGACCTTTGCTTTCCGCGAACGGGGCCGGCGATAAAGAGGACGAAGCCCCGGTGAGCCATGGGATGGGAATATAAAGAATGCGTTGGTGGCTGGCTGCCAAAGCGAGCGCGGCGCGGGTGGAATCGACCGAGAACGCTGTCGTGGCCGTGCAGTGGAGTGGAGGATGACGCGCGCTCGACGGCGACCGCCCCGCCGAAGGGGACGACGACGATGGACCCGAAGGAAGGCGTCCTGTCGCTGGCCTCGTAGCCCAAATCCTTTGCAGGCCCAAGTGAGCCGGAACTGCTCTCAGGCTTCGAGCAGCATGTAGGCCCATGACTCAACTGGGGCGCCGTGGTGGTAGACGCCCACCTCCCATCTCGGCCCGCCTAACAAACTGGGGCGCACGCTTCGGCAGTTGAGAACAACGGACAGGGTGGGTGGGTTGGGGTCCTCGCCGGCCGGTGGAGTTGCTCCTGGACTGGACTGGATCTGCCGCCAAGGATGGCGCGGGCGGAGAAGAGGCGCACCGCGAGCACGGCGGCGGCGGCGGCGGAGACGGAGACGGAGATGCCAGTCAGGTCGACGGACCACCGGAGGGCGCTCTACTTCGCGGCCTTCCTGGTGCTCGCCGACGCCGCGCT